AAACTCCCGCGTTCTGCAAACCAGGGACTCCGCTTTGTTCCACTTTCTAGCTCGCGTTTGGTCCCAACTCATGTAAAACCCTCACAGCAAATCCCCCCTGATATCTAGAATCAGAATTAGCGAGAAACAATATTAATCCTTTTCACTCCACTAACAAAGTTGTAAGTTTAAAAGCACTGCACCAGAACGCACGAGAAAAGGGACATTCGCACCAGTGGCATCTCGCTGCGCACCCTCCCCTCAGTTCTTAGTTATTATGAAAAAGACCGTCAATAAAGAGTAATAAATACATCGATCGCCGCAGTGGTCTGTTCGATGAAAAGATAAAGCATCGACCCACAGGTTTTATTGAGAGGCTTTTTGATTAGCTCTGTGGATAGGCAGCTCCCGTCTAGCTGAGTTCATTGTTCCCTTGTTTTCTCGCGAGCTGTTTACCTCTGCAAAGAACTGACGTCTGCTCGAAACAGGAACCACATCTCGCTAGCCCGACAAACACACAGAGCCTCCCTCCTATTAGAGTTCTCCATTTATCCCTCTATTCAGTCTATTGACCTGTCTGTTTATTGCTCTATTCAGGCCCTCGACTTTTTTGTTGCCATGCGCTTGTACCTCAGCGTCTGTGACAACGCGCGGTTAGGGGAGAAAAAAAGAAAAGAAAAGAGAAAAAGAAAGGAAGGAAGGAAGAAAACAGTACAACGTTGTTTGCATTACATTTCCCACCCCATGAAAGACGGAAAATCTAGGTCTTTATCCTCGTGTTTTTTGCTGAAATGCAATAAATGAAGCCAGAGCGTGAACAAAATGAAAAGAAATACCCATTGAGTTACGAGTCACCGCTTTTATTAATTAATTAATTAATTTGTTTATTTATCTATCTATCTATCTATTTATTCAATTCTTTAATGTTTCCCTAAAAACTCTAGTTATTAAATATACAAATAAATTAGTAAATAAATAACATAAAATAAACCGTTACACGTCTGTCTCATCAACGCCCAGAATATGTAACTGTAAGCATAGCAGGAACCCCCCGGGGTGTATATTATTATGTCGCTTCGCGCGCACACCTGTGGTTTGGGCTGGCGGTGAATCAGCGTCTCCAACATTATATAACCCAAGGCGTGAGGGACGATAAAAATCCTAATAAAAACACATTACAGGCGATGACAAATTGCAATGAGTGAAAAAAAAAAATTGTCGACTTTTGTGACACCCAGAGAGGTAAGAATGTCAGTCAGCGAGCATGCATTCACGCACGCACCAACCCTGCCCACCCTCCACCCCCTCAACCTAAGTTCTGTTAATATATTTCTCTTTTCTCTGATCAAAGAGTGGATGGAGAAGAAAGGACCAACAAAGGGACTTTATGATAAATGAAAGGTAAATGTAATGACTGAATAGCGGATTACAGAACGGGAAACCCTTCTGGAAAAGAGGAAATGGATTTATTTCACTTATTTCAGGAAATAGAGTCTGTGGAAGGGAGTGGGTGGGAGTGGGTGGGAGGACATTAAGTGGCATTATGTTCTACAACAACAGCAACAACTTTGAGAAACGTGACTAGTCAGCAAACATCACAGCTTATTTGCTACCACGTCTGGCCTAATGTAGGAGAAACTTTCACCACGGCTGCAAACACGATGACTGAGACAAAGATCTCAGTTCTAACCAAACAAGAACGTGTTGGGGGAAAATCCCCAAGTGCACACGCACGCACACACACACACACACACACACA